TTCTAGCATGCTCAGATGTTTTTTAATCCAAGCTACTTTTATATATTGCCATTTTTTAAAAGTTCTTTTTCTAGATGCTGAAAAGCAGTAGTCAGCAGCAATTCCAGGCTTTCTGAGTTGCATGCAGGTCTCAGTCTCTACTCAAGAGTACTTGCACCTGCAGTCATTTTGAAACCACACCTCTATCTAATAAAACCTATTTTTTAATAGAAAAACATGGTGTTTTTGCTGGTTTGAGATAAAGATAGCTACTCAGGAAGTTTCCTTGTATTCTTTCTATGCATGTATGTATTACAACAACAGTTGGTTCATCTCTTCCAGTCCTTTTCACTCCTCCCTAGTCCCCTTCGCATGGTGGCCCCAGGCCCTGTAAGATTTCTACATTCATTCCTGTACAGTGAGCACATCAACCACTAAAACCTATCTCTTATTTGATACTCAGGTAAGGTCAACTTCAATTCTTCATGTAGATAAAAGACACTAATATCTCCAGGTGTAGACTATTTTTTACTTTATTCTTGTACTTTGGGATTATCTTTTCTTCATGCTTTACTATATATTCAAAAAATATTTTGCAAAAGGAGACTCAGTCTACCATGATGTTGAAACACAAACAATACCTTAATATCTAAACAATATTCTGCCTTACTTTATCAGAGATTTACTATTCTTCATTACAATCTTTTTATGTTAGAAGTCATTTTTTCTCAGTATTTATAGAATACGGTTATGCACACATTGTTGAGTGTGTGCGTATTACTTAAACATTTATGAGAATCTTGACCCTCTGTTTCCCTTTTCCATTGGGCCTGAATGTTGGTCTTGGTGGTCATAAAAGGAGAGAAAATGATACTGAATCAGACCTCACAGCCTTGCAGTTCAGCGTATAGCAAGTGGGCAGGTTTCAAACAGGATTGAATTAAAGAAAAAAAAAGAAGAGAAAAAACTGAGACTCTAGAGGACTATTTCTTAAGTTTACCTTTTGAATATACTGATATCAAACTCATAACTTTCTTACATGTCCTTTTATATACCTAGATCATCATCCTGTCTTTTTATTAAATAGGCCAGTAATAAGCCATGTAGAAGGACAAGTTATTATTTGTAAAATAGGTTTAAAACCTAACGTGAATGCAATCACGCAAGTGAATTTTACGTTATCTGGGGCACCATCATTTTATCATTTCAATGTTTTTCAAATTAGAGGGTTAAATACATTTTTAGTCTTTAAAATAATATTTTTATTTAAGGCTTGCATTGAATCACATTTATTTCGTCTTTGTTTCAGGGAATTTCACCTATGTCATCCTGTTAGGACACTCCTTATTGAGGGTATGCTAAATATAGTGTCGATGCAGAGATACCACATGGATTGTACATTTAAAGCACCTAAGACACCAGACCTTTGATAAATATCCACTGTCATAACCTTCCCCTTTCTTCCCCATGCTGAATCCTTTGCAGGAGCGGCCTCTCCATGCCTCCCCCACCCCCACCTTCCATAGCCTGTCCATGTTTAACCCTGCGTCTCAGTGATACCAAGTTTCCCTTTCAAAAAGCCTTTCCTGCTTTGGTTTTTCTAGTATCTCTTCTTCACCCTCCTGTCTTTATGTCTTAATCATCACCTTAATGTGCATCTGCATTACTCACACTGTGAAAGGTATACTCAGCACCTTCATACTTTCACTGCTTATTACATATTACAGTTTTTGTTCCACTGGGCCTGAGTAATTCTAGGACTCCTAGGTAAATAACTTACTTCATAATAGGACACAGTCTCAGAGTAAATAACTTAACAACCCCAACAGTACTTTGTATCAAAAGAGCAGGATTTTGAACTTAGATTCTCTAACTGGTCATAAAAACAACAGTTCTGGAGCAGAATTACTCCTGTTATATGTATCCATCTGATCTGACATGAACTCTGAGTTCCCCATTAGTTCATTAGCATAAAATTCATCCTGCAGGATCTCAAGTATCTCTAGATAAATTGATGAGGTATATCATTTCTGGTCCTGTGATAGTATATGCTACGTTCGGATGAAAGATTCTGTTGACTCCTGCTGCATGGCTTGATTCAATTTAGATGAGAAATTAGAAGGTTGTTTATGTTTGCTTTACATTTCAAGAATTCTTTATATTAAGAGTACTTTGAAATGGGTCTGTATTACATCTATCTTTAATAACAGCTGTGCTAAATCCTTTCCTCTCTTAGCCCCTATTCCTTATTATAATAAGAAACATGTGGATTCTTGAAAGGAACTGAAAAGCATGGTCTCTTAAACAGAATAATGCAAATCATTTAAATTAGTCATGGTTGCAATTATTCCCTATAACTTTAAAGGCAAAGAAAAGCTCCTTGATCTGCCAAATATAAGAACAAAGAAATTCAAACTGATCACAGTCTTAGTTGAAAATTCTGACTTTACACATAAGTAAAAGAAAAATAGCAATGGATCCTTTTTGCTTTTTAAAGCATACCTTGATCTGTAAGAGGTTTTACTAATTACTGATAATCAAATCTCATAGACACGATTACCGTGCTTCAAAGTCTTTAATTTTCTTATTATAAAACTATTCTAAACACCTGAATTTGGAAAATGGCAAAAGAGGAGAGCATTTGCCTATAATTCTATCAAATAATATAATTGCTATTAGCAAATTATGATATACTTACAGGTGATTACATGGTGGTCTGGTTTTTCAATACAAGGTAGTAGTTATGCCTCTATGGAAATATGCAATCATTACTGTTGAATATTTTCTATATTTTCCTACATTTATATTTTATGATATAAATGTGTCTTATACGATAAATAAGAATGCTTTTCAGGATATTTGTTTACTTAATCACATGATAGTCATTTACTTCCTATACCCTGGTGGTTGTAGGTTTGTGTAATTTATGACACACCCACGGAAGTCATTGTTCGCTATTTCTCTTCCCCTGTATCACAGGGCTGGTGCAAGAAAGATACAATAGTGCTGCACTTGTGAGTTCTTGTTCCCTGATTTTAAATGAAAATGTCTCCCACCCTGGACTCTCAACTCTTCATTTGAAGCTGAAGCTTTTGGCTTTATCATCTTACTGCTGTGGTGGATTGATCTTGATTTTTCCCCCATTTCCATGGATGTTGGTGACCTTCCCCTTTTCTTAGGTTCAGTCTGATCATGTGCAATTTCTTGTTCAGCCAACACTAGTTAATTCTTTGACTTCAGACTAGATGATCTCTACCTCTACTCTTCTTAATCTCATGATAATACCTAGTTACATCTTGAACTGCTCTGAAATCTTATATCCCTATAGCCCTCTGATCACAATCACCAGTAGTTTTTTAGTAAAGTGTCTGAACTTTTGCTTCATTGATGATTCCATTTTCCCTATTACTCTATTCTGTTCTCCAAATTGTCATGCTTCCTCTGCCTTACTTCTTATCATCCAGAGAGTCCTATACATTCTGTCCCTTCTTTCACTGTTAACTTTATTATCAACTTATACCCTTTGGTTCTTCCTTCACATCTGATCTACAAAACCTTAACCACTTGATCCAGTTACTAAGCATCTGTGTTTCAGCCACTAGGCTGACTATCACTCAGCTGGTCATATTAGAGCTACTTAGAACATATGTTCTCCATCCTCAGCTGAACCAGCATTTTCTCTGACTGATATGTACATTAAGTATGTCTTTAGTACTTAAGTCAGTTCTCTTGCATATTCCCTTAGTGGCTATCTCACTCTTTGATTCTTTTCCAGAGAGTACTATCCAACTCCCATCCACCTTCAACACATGGTCAGATGAAGTTGCCACATTCTTCACTTAGGCATGCAAGAATATCAGCAAGTAATTTCCTTAATAAGCAAATATCACATACAACTGTGAAACTGTAACCATTCCTATTAAAGTTAGAAGGAAACATAAGGAGCTCACTACCACCATTATTTCAATGTTGTATTGGAAATCCTAGGCAGTGGGACAAGATTAAAGATGTGTAGAAAATTCAATTACAAATAAGTAACAGCACTTTTTTTAACCTGGGTAAAAATACAATATTCTAAGAAATGCAGGAGAAGAAAATGTAAGCTTATTAAACTGACTCAATTTGGTATATACCCATCCATGTGAGAAACAGTTATATGATAAAGTAATCCACATCAGCTGAGTTTAAATCTGAACAGGGTGTTTGAATGACTTTAGTGTGGATGAAAAAGGTGACAAATTTTGAAAATCTTTCTAGCAAACAATGGTCATCAACATGATAAATATGGTGAACTTTATTATTTTGGAGGGACATTTAATCTCAAATTGTTCTTTTATTGTCAAATGCTGAAGGAAATTTTAATGGGATACTTTTTCCATCGTCTTACCCTGATAAACCAAAAGATGATATATCTTCCTATGATGTTTATCTTAAAGAATATTTCACTATCAAATACCCTACAAACAGAATACCTTATTAACCAAGATATTTTCAAAGGAAACCTTTTCAATTACTCATATGTGATAGTTACATCATATTACTCAAACTACAATTTCATAAAATAAAATGTGACAATTTTATTAACTCAAAATGTAGATATAAGTCCAAGACTGTTTTGAATTTATTTTATTTTAGTTTTTGGTATTTCTCTAAAATTAAGTTCACAAGAATTGAAAATGTTTAATATAATTGTTACTTTTTAATTTATAGTTGTGACTATTCATTTATCTTACATAGCAACGAAAATTCGTATTTATAAGATATACTGTTACAGTACACATTTTGAGAATTGGGTAATATATAAATAATTTTATCTAAAGTATGAAATTGAAAAATATATTAATGTATCTTTTTTTACTTACACATATACATTTTTTCCATAATATTCCAATTATAAAGGCCAGATTTTACAGTTTAATATTGATATATTTGAATGGAAAACTATGTCATTGCTACTACTGATACCTGGCATAAATATTTTCAGTTTAAATGAGACATAATATAATGTTGGTGTTTTTTAGGTATAGCTTACTTGAATGGAATGTGTAGTGAAAAGAGAAAATGTATAATTGCTGAAGACAATGGCCTGAATCTTGCATTTACAATTGCTCACGAAATGGGTCACAAGTAAGTAAAACTCATCACTATGTTACATATTCAACCTCTAACTTAGTAATTTGAATTATTGAATTACATGTATATAGTTTGATTGTTTTCTTTGAAATTCAAGAATTTTAAAACTTAGGGAAACAAGAGGAGGTAGAGAAGACGATCTAAATCTAAAGAACATCTTTTGAAAGTTGTAGCCATTCCTGATACTATGAATAAAATCTTATTGCATTATTAAAATTTTTGTCAAGACAATCATTATATGGTATATTAATGATGTCACTACACATTCCCAACCAATATAAACATTGTAATAATCAAATAAGTACAAAATTATAGCTTTTTTCATTTCAAATTGTGCAAAGAATAGACTTTAATGTTCTTTTAAATTTCAGCTTTTATTAGCAGAGATTAATTGAACAAAGGGGCTTCATTGTAATATTTGCAGCATGCAGATGATGTACTTTGATCAAATTTACCTCATCTATATTTTTTAACTATTTAGCAAAAATGAAAATACTCTTAGCATATAATCATCCCCCATATTTGTTATTACTAAGCATAGACTAAAGGAATAAAGTGATTAATCCTGCATGGTTTAGGTAATGTACATAAAAACAAATTAGGCACAATTAACATAAGATTAACATTAATTATATCTTAAGCACAGTTCAAAGCCCTTTGCGTGGATAAGTTCGTTTAGTACATAAAGCAAGAAGGTAGTTCCTGTCACAATTCTAATTTTCCTGATGACTAGCAATGTTAACACATATATGTAGCACTTACTTATTTCAAGTCCCCATGAGTCTTGTGGTATAGTGTTATTAGTGTGTCCATTTTACAAGGAAAAAAGCCAAAGGTATAAAGAAGTTGGTAAGACACCTAAAAAATTAGCTAGCATTTGTTGCCCTTAACACAGAGAAACTAAAGCAGAGACCTTAAAAGCAACTGAGGCCAATAGGAAAAGGGGACCAGGAACTAGAGAAAAGGTTAGATCAAAAAGAATTAACCTAGAAGGTAACACACACGCACAGGAAATTAATGTGAGTCAACTCCCTGTATAGCTATCCTTATCTCAACCAGCAAAAACAATTGTTCCTTCCTATTATTCCTTATACTCTCTCTTCAACAAAATTAGAGATAAGGGCAAAATAGTTTCTGCTGGGAATAGAGGGGGTGGGGGAGAGAGGGAGGGAGTAGAGTGGGTGGTAAGGGAGGGGATGGGGGCAGGGGGGAGAAATGACCCAAGCCTTGTATGCACATATGAATAATAAAACAATAAAAAAAAAAAGAAGTTGGTTTGCCCTCCCAAAGTTACAGAAATGGTTATTGTTGGAGCAAGGATTTGAACTCAATTCATTGAACTCAGATCACCCTGTTCTGAATTTCTATACTGGTGAGCCTTACATTTTTCATCAGTAAGTTAGAATAATACTGTTGGTATGGGGTTTGTTTGGGGTTAAAATTACATAGAACTATGCCTTTGTTTTCAAGAAGTTTATTATAGTGAAATGGCATGGGTTGAAATATCAGTTTTAATTTTGCCTGTAGGCTTTCCCAATTGCTTGCTGTATCAGCAGTACAAATGAAAGTATCTTAATTGCACTCAGATTTAATGAGGTCCTATGCAGGGAAATGATCTTTATGGAGCTTCTTTGGTCAAAGACATATTTGGAGTTTTAAAAAACTGAATTAGTTGTCAATATTTAAAAAGTATAAATTTGATGTAAAAATTCAAATTTTCAGACCTGGCAACACTTAACTCACAGTCCCATATGGTAACCATTGCTTGGAGCCAATAGAATCTGGATTCATTATAGTGGGCACCTCTTTCCCAGCTCATCACTGACTGCAGCATTTGAGTATCATGTCATACACCCACCTCACTTCATTTTCATTGTGTTCCTGGACTCCGTTCTCAATTGAGTAAAGTTGAGATGGCAGTAGAAGACCTGTTGAAACTATTCCAGGAATGGGGGAAAGAGGAATAAAGGAGAATGATAGAGGGGGTGAGTTCAAATATGATAAATTGTAAGAACTTTTGTGCATATCATGGTATACCCCCAGTACAACAATAATATAAATTTTAAAAAAGACAAAAGCATGAAAGATCAACTCATATAGAATGTGACTTATCCAAGTAAACAGGAGTGATTAAATCATGATTATACAACTCAATCAATTATCAAAGGCTGAATATTCTAACATATCCATAACCCAGTCTAGCAAATAGGACATTACCAGCAATGATTCATTTCTAAAATTTTCTCATTAACAAAAATGTGTCTATATTTATCGTGTACAATATGTTGTTTTGACATATTTATACACTGCGGAAGTGGGTAAATTGAGCTAATTAGCATAACTTGTGCGTTTCCTCACATACTTGGCCATTTTGGTGAGAACACTTAAAGTCTACTCTCCTAGAAATTTTCAAGTGACTGATTTTTGATGTGAATGTTTGGTGAGTTTGTTTTGCTTTGAGACAGGGTATGTAGTCCAGGCTGATCTCAAATTCCTGATCCTCCTGCCTGAGGCTCCCAATTGCTGAACGTATAGTCCTAAGACTGTACGTATAAGCCTGTGCCACCATGCCTGACTGATGTCACTGTTCTTAAGTGAGTAGATATACTTTCACTCTTCAGTTAACTAATCAGAATACAAGGAGTTAATCTGTTATTGCAAAAAAAAAAGAAAGAAAGAAGAATAAAGAGAAATACACTATACAGGTGGAATAGGTAGGAGAATCACAGTCCAAAGCCTGCCCCAGGCAAAAATGGGAGACCCTACCTGAAAAAATGCTAAAGCAATAAAGGGCTTGAGGTGTGACATAAGTGGTAGAGCATCTATTTAGCATGTGTGAAGTCCTGAGTTGAAACCCCAAAACTGCCCCTTCCCCCAAAAAGTAGTGATAGGATTGATAGGATTCAGTGTCTTAAAATATAATTTTAGTTTTCACTTAGTCATATTAGGAAAACTCCTGGGCATTAAGAGAAAAATGCTGAGAATATTGTTTTGAGACCAGAAAAATTAATTAGTATTTTGAAGTCACAAATTAATTAGGATTCTTATAAAATAAATGTTAATTTCTGAACAATTATTCTTTTCAGCCTTTAGTTATGCATTAATAAATTGATAAACAAGCAATCTTACTACGGTTTCACAAATAGGTATTAAATAATTTTGACAGCTACCCTGAATAACAGAAGTATTTAAAACAAATAGGAAAAGTAATTTCTTCAATTAGCATTTTATTCTAAAATGTAGTTCCATGTTAAAGGAACCAATCACAATATAAGTTTATTGGCTGATATCCAAAGTCTTAATTATGAAGCTACAACTATTTAAATAAAAAACTAAATGAGGCCAGTGGCTCACGCCTATAATCATAGATACTTGGGAGTCTGAGATCAGAAGGATTGTGGTTTAAGAGGAGCCCAGGCAAAAAGTTTATGAAACCCCCATCTCCAAATTAATTAGAGCAAAACTGACTGGAAGTGTGGCTCAAGCAGTACAGCACCCACTTTGCAAGTGCAAATCCCTGAGTTCAAACCCCAGACCCACCAAAAAAAAAAGAACCTAAAAAAGAAAAAAAAAAAAACTTAAATGAAGTAATTTAAGAAAAGTTCACTTCAGCTTTTTGGAATAGAAACATAGGTTTGTCTTGTCACTAGAAACTCCGATTGGGAAGTCTAAAATATTGTTTTATTTGATTTTTATAGAGCTGCACCCTAAATCAAGAGACATGTCTCAAAGGAATGTATAATCATGGATTAAGACAAGGATACATGATAAGATAAATGTTAAATTACTCGATTACTAAATTTTTTTCCTGGCAGTAACTAACAAAGTTTAATCTCAAAAGTACAGGCTAGTGTTCTGACTGTAGACAATGAGAGGCAGAAGCCATGAGAATAATGTCATCTTTATAAACAACAAACCAAAAAAAAGAGAGGAAGTTTTCCTATATAAATTACGTAATTATCATCATATCCATGTAAGCTAAAAGCACAATGAAAGGAGAAATAAAGGAAGAAGAAATATAAAAATGTTCATTTTCTCATAGCTTTCTCAAAACAGAAAGTCTTTCTATACATTAAATAATTATATGCACTGCTCCCATGCATGTGTGTCCACACACACGCAGCATGCTCACACACACACTTAGAGCCCTTCTACTATTGAAATATGATTGAAAGTAAACCTTCTTAAGTAAAACTCTTTAATCTTTTTCTTCAGATTACTTTTTTGGTTATTGTTAAGTTATATAAATTTAAATGTCTTCTAGAAACTAATAACAAATTGCATATAATTCTGCTACCCACAGTTTCAGGATAGCAGAATGGCTCCATTGAAATACTTCAATTCAAGAAGTCTCTTAGAATCATACCTAAAATATTTCTAAACTGATTTGGGAAGAGTGTATTTATGTTTATTGATTTCTAGGAATTTTCAGAACAACTCAACACATAGCCAAAAAAATCAACATGAGTTACCAAATAATAAAAAATGAATCTTGAGGATGACAATTTGAGTAGTAAAGAGGATAAAATATCCTTCGCTTACTATTGCAATAGAAAATAACACAATGTCAGCCAAAATGTGTTCAATTTTTCCTTTGGGAAATTACTACTTTAAAAATATATGCAACTATATACCAAAAGGATGTTAGAATCCACCATAAGTCTAAAGAAATAAATGACTTGCACTAATTTTTAAATTTCTTTTCAAAATTATTTTCCTTTTTCTGCAATAGTTATTAATTTTTCTGATAACCAAAATTTTTAGGAAGAAAATATCTTTATTAGGACAAGTAAATTAATATAGACTAATAAAATGCAAATTGAACCTCATTAATTTGTTATTATAAAATAAAACTATTTTCATGAATAAAAGTACCTTTGGAAATTATTCATGAATTTGACAGTTTTGAATACATACATTTATATGCACATTCTCTGGATTCTGTATGTTTCATATGATTTTTATGAGCAATACTTTGTTAAATCCTTGATTTC